TTATCCTTGCCTATATAGCTAGCTTGAGCCCAGCCTAGGGTACTTCAGAGTTGTAGGCCCTGTCTCAAAAAGCAACAATAAACCCACACCAAATCTTCTCAGAGGACTGGGTAACAGGACAAGTATTTCTGGACATAGTGCATTGGGCATTCAGCTGATCGGGAAGCAGGGACCAGAGGGCTCTTCTCCTAGGACCTCCAGTGGTCAGCCCGGCTTAGTTGAGGACCTAGTTAGGTGCCCAAACAGCTGTGAAATTAGACAGAACCACGTGACACGGCCGCACACGCCTGTAACCGCGCACAGGGATTCAGGAGCCTTGGGCAGAAGGAGCTTGAGTTTGAGGCTGGCCTGGGCAATTTCCTGGGACCCTGTCTCAAAGTAAGAAGGAGGTGAGGTGTGAGCTGAGTGGTAGAGGACCCCCCTACTCTGTGCAGAGCCGTGGTCAAGCCCTGGGCCCATAAACATGAGTTAGGGGAGAGAAGGCCGCGTGCTGTCTGCAGGGCAATCACGGATAACTGTCGCATCTTAAGGTGGGAAAATTATGGCCGTGTGTCATGTCACTCTTTCTCCTCGATGCAAAGCATATCATAATTCTCAGTGTTTGATTTTCAAGACAGGGTTTCTCTGTAACAGCTCTGACTGTCCCAGAACTCACTCTGTAGACCAATCAGGTTAGCCTCGAACTCAGAGATCCACCAGCTTCTGCCTCCTGGAGGCTGGGATTAAAGGCGTGTTCCACTACAACCAACTCAGAAACTTTGTTTTTAAATCCCTATTTCCGATGTTGCATGTGGTTTTTATAATATAGTCTAGTTTATTTTGTTTGGCTCGAGACAGTCTCCCAGAAGAAACTAAAATCTTTCTTAGGACAGCTCATAGACAGTTTTGTTAATAAGACTGGATCAAGGTAGCCCAGGCTGCTCTTTAGTCTGTGGAAGGGAAGGTGACCTTGAGCTACTGAGCCTCCTGCCTTGCCCCCCTCCCACTTAAATTCTTATCTTCCCCCACCTTGTATCTAGGAGTCGAGCATAAAAGATTTCTGGGGCCTGACCAACCAGAGGGCCCTGCCTGGCGTCTGGGCTGAGGAAGGTGCACTAACAGGCTCTGCCGGCCGTCGCCACCCGGGCTGTTAACATCAGGTCTCCTGTTCCTCCAATCAAATCCTCAGGGTTGTGATTTAACTGTGTTTACACGAGGACTTCTCCAATACAAAAAAACAAAAAGTTCAGAGTTCCAGAAGCTTCCGAAACCAAACATAGGAAGGCTCCTGGAAGTTGGTGTTCCTGGAGAAGGCACAGTGTCTCCACCCCTTCCCAGAAGCCCTGCCCTCTGTCCCTTATCTAGATTCTTTGTGATGAATTAATAAGAGTTAGCATTTCCCCGGGTTCTTAGTGTTAGTGACAGGATATTACCCTAGAAGGGAAGCTGTGAGGAGATAAAACCTGGGGCTCTGCCTGGCATCAAAAGAGATGGGGGATTGTAAACCAAGCACCACAGGCAGACTGATTTGAGTTTGTGGACAACCTGCTATGGTCCACTGTAAAATTAGTTTCCTGCCTGGTGTGTGCATCTGGTGTCCAAAGCACAGCCTTGAGAGTTTATCAGGAGAAATTACATTTGAACTCGGCATTTCCTTGTGTCCACAGAAAGGACTTTAATTTTTTGTTTTTTGTTTTGTTTTGTTTTGTTTTTTCCGAGACAGGGTTTCTCTGTAACTTTGGAGCCTGTCCTGGAACTAGCTCTTGTAGACCAGGCTGGCCTTGAACTCACAGAGATCCGCCAGCCTCTGCCTCCCAAGGGCTAGGATTAAAGGTGTGCGCCACCACCGCCCAGCAAAAGGACTTGCAAGAGTTTGTGCTGAGGATGTAGCTCAGTGATTGGGTGCTTGGCTAGCATTGCTAGGGCCCTGGGTTCAATTCCAAAACGTACACACATGCATATACACACACACACACACACAAACTCACTCACCCAACCAAAAATTTCATTTAAAACTTCAGCAAGGGGGCTGGAGAGATAGTCAGTGGTTAAAAGAACTCACTGCTTTTCCATATATTATCCAGCCACTTTGGCTACCCACCCCTCTTGTGCCTTTGGCCTCTCCCACATGTCCCTGCTTCTGGTTGTGCTCTCCTCTCCAACACTGCACAATAAACCTTCTCCTCCACCACACCTAGAGGCAGTCACGCCCTTCTCTCCCCTTTCCCTTTCTTTTTCTCAGACAGCGCCTCCCAGTGGCAGGGAAAGGAGGCACCTGATGGCGGCTCACTAAGCCTCTTACAGGACGAGTAGGTGACTTTACAAGAAGAGTCATACTGCAGACCTCAAAGAAATAAGTGTGGGTCAAAGAGGGACGCCCCGGAAGTGTTCCCATGGCAAAACTGGCAGAGTCTACACAGTCACCCAGTGCTATTGGCATTGTGGACAAGTGAGTTGAGGCCCGGCTTCTGAGAGAATCCATGTGCACGCTGAGTATGGTCTGAAATGGCTTCCTGAAACTGGAAAAGGAAAACACAGACCAAAGAGAGCGGTACCTGGGTCCCGCTGAAGTAAGTTCCAGGATGCTCCACCCAGGGAGCATGCACATGAAAGCTAAGAGGGAGGAGCCCATTCCTTGCCAATTCGTGGTGTGGGAGATGAAAATAAAAAAGGCCTCAGTTTTAAAAGTATTTTTCTTTCCTTTATTAAAGATTTGTTTATCTTTATTGGGTGTGCAGGTGTGTTCTGCCTGCGTGTATATGTGTGCACCTGGAGGCTTGGAGTCAGAAGATGGCTTTGGCCCCATTCCCTAGAACTGAAGTTAGAGACAGTTGTGGGCCACCGTGTGGGTGCTGGAAACCAAAGCCAGGTCCTCTGCAATAGCAGCCAGTGCTTCTGAGTCATCTCCCTAACCCCAAAATTGTTTTTCTTAATTAGTTTGAACTGTGGTGTCTTCTCCCCACTCAAAAAAAAAAAAACTTAAAAAAGAAAACCAGGTTGTGACAGCAGAAAGAACAGTCATGACCCTTGCAAGAGTGAAGGGCTGGGCTGGCACTGGCACAGAAAGCTTCCAAGGTGCACTGGCTGGTTTTGTGTGTCAACTTGACACAAGCTAGAGTCATCAGGAAAGAACCTCAATTGAGGAAATGCCTCTGTAAGATCTGACCGAAAGCTGGGCAGTAGTGATGCATGCGTTTAATCCCAGCACTGGGGAGGGGAGGCAGAGACCAGCCTGGTCTACAGAGTGGGTTCCAGGACAGCCAGAGCAACACAGTGAAACCCTGTCTTGTAAAACAAAAACAAGTGATGTCTCTTCACAGCAATAGAAGCCCTACAACAGATAAATAGATTAATAAATAAGAAAAGTGGGGGCGGAGCAGAAACTAACAAGCTCACCTGTCCTTTGGACTGGCCTTGAATTCCTGATTCCCCTGCCTCTACTCCAGAAGCACTGGGATTATAGGCTTTGTGTCACCACGCTTGGTTTATGCTGTGCTGGGGATTGAAGTCAAGAAGACTTCGTGAAAGGTAGACAGACATCAGTGAACTCTATATCCTAGGCTTGTTTTTGTTGTTGTTTTGGTTTTTGAGATAGGGTTTCTGTGTAAGAGCCCTGGCTGTCTTGTGTACTGTCTGTACTAAGTGTGCGGACTACACTACAGGACCATTGCTAAGCAGGGCAAGGGCCTGGAGATTTAAACACACGGAGACAGAGGTCCTTGAAACAAGAATGCCCTCTTTATTCGGTTCCAGAGCCAATATATATATATATGGATCCTTAACTGATATCCATGCCCAAGCCCAACCCACCAGAAACTACTCCCCTGCCATCAGGAACTCCTGAGGGTCTCCCGCTCAGAGAAGCTGCAAACACAGGAAAACAAGTTGTTTTGCTTAGAGCAGCTGCAAGCATAACAAGTTGTTTACAGGGAATTCAGGGTCTGGGTCCACAGCCTCCAATAGTCTTGGAACTTGCTGTGTAGGCCAAGCTGGCCTTGAACTCATAGAGATCCATCTGCCTCTGCCTCCCAAGTGCTGGGCTTAAATGCATGTGCAACCACTGCCAGGCTTCCCTAGGCTTGTTTCTGTCCAAACCCCGCCTAACCATGTATCCCTGTCTGGTCTGACCCTTGACATGTAGCCGAGTGTGGTCTCAAACTCATGGCAGTCCTTCTACTGAGACTCATGTGCAGATTACAGGTGTGCACACTAACATCCAGCTCCATCAGTGTGGTTTTTTGTTTGTTTGGTTGGTTGGTTGGTTGGTTTTGGTTTTGGTTTTTTGGTTTTTTTGTTTTGTTTGCTTGGTTGGTTTTGTGGGACAGAGTTTCTCTGTAGCTTTGGAACCTGTTCTGGAACTAGCTCTTGTAGACCAGGCTGGTCTCGAACTCACAGAGATCCACCTGCCTCTACCTCCCAAGTGCTGGGATTAAAGACGTGTGCCACCACCACCCAGCTCATCAGTGTTTTATAAAACAGGGTCTCAGGCTGGCATCAAACTTGCTGTGTAGCTGAGGGTGACCTTGAACATCAAATCTTCCTGCCTCCACCTCCCAAATGATGGGACTACTGGTGTGCACCAGCAAGCCCTCCTTCACCAACTCTCTGCTTTTTGGCTTTATCTATTTTATTTTTGAGACTGGATCTGTCAACACAGGCCTGGCTGTCCTTGAACTCAGAGAGGTCCGCCTGCCTCTGCCTCACAAGTGTTAGGATTAAAGGCATGTGTTACCCCGTCAGCTTTCTTTTGTATTCTGTTTCCAGGGTTTGTGTCGTCCTGTGTTCTGCTTGGCTGTAGATGAACTGACTCTGCACTGCTCTCTGAGACTGGACAAGGGATTACAGACTGGCTGACTCTTAATTCTTTTCTCCTCAAAACGAAACAAATCAAAGAAAACCAGACCAAAGGAGCATTAGGGTACCCTGTAGATCAGGGAAGTTTCATCTACTATCTTCATGGTCCTCAGTTCCATCGCTAGCAACACACACAAGCACTCAAGCTGAATGAAATCACACCTCCTTTTTAGTTACATGAAAAAAGCGCTGTATGTTTATTTTTTATTCTTTTTCATTATTATTTTTTGAGACAGAGACTCTCTATGTAGTCCTGGCTGGTCTGGAACTCCCCATGTAGACCAGGTTGGCCTCAAACTCACAGAGATCCAGCTGGAGTGCTGGGACGAAAGGGCACTGGCCCCCATGCCCAGCCCGCTGCGCATTTATTAAAACAACATATAGCACAAACTCAGTACTCTCCCCGTCTTTGGGAACGGGCACTGAAATACAGTACATTGCCCTAGGCCTTTGAGTGAGACCCACCCTCCCACCAAGGAAGGGATTTGGGCAGCTCCATTACCTTGGCTTCCTTCCCTGTTTGTGACAATCGCCAGTCACACAATGACCAGACGTGATCATACAAAAGTTCTCATACAAAAAGCACCAAATTGGCATACATATACAAGTAGATACAAAAATCACATTTTAAAAACATACAAAATATTTCATTTTGCACCAACGTAGAAAAGTGTCCTGTGGCATTTTGAATACGTTTCCAATCGTGGTTCAGCAACTGCTGGACACAGCGGTGGGGGGTCCTACTCTAGTTCCTGCTCTCTGAACAGAGGAGACACACTTCCCCATTGTGGCCGCCCAAGGAGCCCCGAGCCCCAACCCCCTCCCGAGATGGGCCTGTCACCCGCCTCCCCGGTCTCTGCATCCAGAGGTGTGCACTCATCCGGCTCCTCACTGGTGTCCTGGAAGAGAAAATCAGACACAGGCTCATGGTGAGAGGACCCGGGACCTCCGGAGCTGTGGTGAGAAGCCAGACACCACCACCCCCAGCCTGGGCTTTTTCTTTAGAACCAGACTAGAAGTTAGCTGTCATAATTCAGTGGACTGCAGATGGCTTAGTGCAGTGTTTTCCAGCCTTCCTAACGCTGTGACGCTTTAGTACGGCTCCTCACGTTATGGTGACCCCCAGTTGTAAGAGTCCAGCCTCACCTCCATAGTGAGTTCCCAGTCAGCCATTAAAAAAAAAAAAAAAAAAAAAAAAAAAAAAAAAAAAGGAGGATGAGGTGGTGGAGGAGGAAGAAGCAGCAGCAGCTGGGACCCGACTTGGTGGCTTGGTGGGTAGGACCCTACATGCATGAGGGCCAGAGTTCAGATCCCCAGCACCCACACAAAGAAATGCCGATGGCCATGGCAGCCCCTGTGGTTCTAGAGCTCAGAAGACAGGAAAAGGGATCGCTGAGCAGCTTGGCTTGCTAGACTAGCAAATCCATGGACTCTGGGTTCAATTAAGAGACCCTGCCTAAATCAGGGTGATGGTGGTGCACTCCTTTAATCCCAGCACTCAGGAGGCAGAGGCAGGTGGATCTCTGTGAGTTCGAGGCCAGCCTGGTCTACAGAGTTCCAGGACTGTTACACAGAGAAACCCTGTCTCAAAAACAAAAACAGGCTGAAGAGGTGGCTCAGAGGTTAAGAGCACTAACTGTACTTCCAGAGGTCCTGAGTTCAATTCCCAGCAACCACATGGTGGCTCACAACCATCTATGATGAGATCTTGTGCCCTCTTCTGGCCTGCAGGCATACATGCAAACAGAATATTGTATACATAATATATAAATAAAATCTTTAAAAAAAGAAAAACAAAGAAAGAGAGAGAACCTGCCTCAGTGAATAGAGTGGGAAGTGATCAAGAAGGCCCTCCATGTCAGCATTGGACTTCTGCATGAACACCCCTGAGCACACAGCTTGAGCACACATATGTGCAAGCATGCATGTATGTACGCATACCTCAGATGTACAAAAAAGAGGAGGACTAAAGTAATAATGAACACTAACCCTCCACCCCCGGGAATGTGTAGCAGGGCATGCCTGTCCCTCAAGGCGCAAGGGCAGAGAAAGGTGGCCTTCTTACCTTCTTTCCCCTCTGTGGACACACCCTCTTCCTGATCCTCCTCATCTTCAATAAACTCCTCCTCGTCCTCATCTGTAACAAGAACAGTTGTTTTGGGATGAGGTTGGCCTAGAGGGGACATCTGTCTCCATTTCTGGACCCAACTGTGCACCTGGAAGCAGCAAGGACCTAGAAGGTACCAGGCTTGTAGAATCCCAGATCACAGAATCCAGCCTACATGTTCCCTGCCTCCTCCCTCCTGGTCACAGTCCTTTCACTACGAGATAACACGCCTTCATCACTGGTGTGTCTGTGGCCTCAGGGACACAGAAGGCACACTTAGGGTCCTGTGCGCCTCAGCAGAACAGACACAGCACAAAGGGGAGGCTGGACAAACATTTCCTGTCCTTCCGGATCGAAGTCCTTAGTTTAAAGGAATTTGCTCAGCCTTTGAAATCAGTTTGCTCAGCATCTCCTGTCTGCCTCATTCCTCAGTACACAGAGAGGCAGTCTTGGGGCAGCCTGGGGTTCTTTGCTCAGGACAGTGTCCACCAAGGTGCAATCTGGATTCTCACTTTCTCATCCTGGGATGTGACCTTCAAACTTTCCTAACAGGGTCGTGCCCCTCCCGCAACTCCCTTCCTCAGGATTACAGAGTCAACATTTGTCAAGCATTATTTACAAACTAGAGCACCATGGTTAAATTTGTAATCCCAGGACTCAGGAAACTGAGATAGGTTAGCCACAGATTTGAAGACAGTTTGGGCTACATAGTGACACCCTGTCTCAACAACAACAAAAGCAGCAAGTAAAACCTCCAGCCAAACATCCAAGATGCATACATGAACCAGATAATCCAAACACCCAGGATGCATACAACAAACTGGATAATCCAAGCACCCAGGATGCATACATGAACCAGATAATCCAGGGGTCTTGCTGTGTCATTTAAGCCATAGTTACTGCTCATAATAATTTCCCCAGAGAATCACTGGGGCCAGTGCCATGGTGTCGTCACATTGTCTCATATGTCCTCGGAGAGTCTTGTGAGCCAAATGACCCGGGTGGGGTTTGCACCTGCTACTTCCTAGCCCAGCGGCCTTGAACAACTAAGCACTCTATACTTAGTTTCCTAACCTCAAGGTAGAGGTGCTAACAGAACTCCGTCCTAGAGTTGATAGGATTTATGTCTTTAGATCAGGGTCTCAGTGGTCTGAGCATAAAAAGTCCAATGAATAAAAGAGCTCAGAAATGAGCGCAGTGGGACATCCCTTTAATCCCAGCGCTCAGGAGGCAGAGGCAGGAGGATCTCTGTGAGTTCACGGAAAGCCTGGTCCACAAGAGCTAGTTCCAGGACAGGCTCCAAAACTACAGAGAAACCCTGTCTTGGAAAACAAACAAAAAAGAAGAAGGAGGAGAAGAAGTGGATGAGGAGCAGCAGCAACTCAGAGAAGAACAGAAAGAGCTGGCTCAGAGGTAGAACACTTGCCACTTGCATAGCTTGTGTGAAGCCCTGGGTTCAATCACCAGTAATGGACTCCCCCCCCCCGCCAAAAAAACCAAACAAACAAACCAGGAGACGACCAAGGTAGTGGGGGCTTGCCAAAGTCACACAAATAGCACACAGAGTTAGAATCAGGATTTGAAGTGAGAGCCCTCTAATTCTGGATATCATGAGATTTGAATTCACAAGGTTGACTGTGAAGCCACAGATGGGTGGCGCAGGCCTTTAATCCCAGCACGCAGGAGGCAGAGGCAGGCTGACCTCTGAGTTCCAGGCCAGCCTGGTCTACTTAGAGAATTCTAGAACAGCCAAGGGCTCCGCAGAGAGACCCTGTCGAAGCTGTCTGTGTAAATTTGACATTTTTAGTGGATCTGTCTACCATCAGCACACAGAAGAACGCTGCCTTTCAAAGGTCAAACAGGCGCAGAAGCAAGTAGCATCACCATGGCCTTTACCTGTCCCAAAGTCGATGGCCCTCAGGGCTTCTGCTATGTGTTCTAGATCCAGAGTAAAGTAGTCCATGCTTTCAAAGCCCTGCTCTGTCTTCCCCAGCTGGCAGCCCTTGGAAGCTTCCACAATGCTGCGGGGGAGGAAGGCAGGGTAAGGTCTCAGGGTTCCTCGTAGGAAGGGACAGCCCAGCCTCAGCTCTAGGTGGGTCCGTCCCAGCCCCACAATCCATCCCTGAAGTGAGAGGGCATGAAAGAGTAGAGATCTTCTCCAGGGTCAAGCAGAGTGGATGACCTAAGAAAGTAGGGGGCATGAGCAGGGGATGAGCCCCAACTCCTGGAGAATTAATGCATAGGGTCCCACTGGGCAAGTGTCAGAAGCCCTGGGGCAACTAGGGACTTGGGCGACAGTTCCCGAGACACTAACCTCTTGATGAGTTGCTTGGCACCCTGTGGGGAGAAAGAGCAGAGGAGGTTAGCATTGAAAACCCCAGGGAACATAAAATAGCGACCTCCTGAGCATAGACTCAGGTACCACCCCATGGTGCAGTCCTGCCCTAAGACAGAATGTGGACATTTTCTCTCTGTCCCTAGCTAGCACAGGTCTTGGCCAGCATGCATCCCAAAAAGCGGTCATTGTCTGAGCAGGAAACCAGGATTCTCGGGCCAAGTCACTCACAATGTCTGAAGTCTCCCGGATGTGAGTCAAACAAACCTCCTTCTCAGACCGATGGTCTGGACAAAGCCGGCCCATGAGAAGAGCTGAAGGCATGTGTTCTGGGTATTGTAGTTTTTTGTGTGTTTTTAATTTTTTCTTTGTATGTATGTGTGCCTGTGTGAAATTATTTGCAACACATGTGTGCAGCAGCCCTGGAGGCCAGAAGAGGGTGTCAGACTCCCCTGATTGTGAGCTGCCCAACATGGGTGCTGGGAACCTTCTCAAGTCCTCCTAAAGAGCAGCGAGTACCCTTGACTTCTGCGCCGTCATCTCTCCAAACTGTCTGGGTTTTGCTACTGTCGAAAGGTTTACTTATTTATGTTTTATGTGTATGTATGAGTGCCTGCATATATGTATTACGCCACATATGTGCCTGGTGCCCTTGGAAGTCAGAAGCGGTCATTGGGTCCCCTGGAGCTGGAGCTATAGATGGTTGTAAGCCGCCATGTAGGTGCTGGGAACTGAATCCAGATCCTTTGCAAGAACAGAAAGTGTTTCCCTCTCTCTGTCTCTCTGTCTCTCTGTCTCTGTCTCTCTCTCTTCTCTCTATTATGTAGCTCTGGCTGTCCTGGAATTTGCTTTGTAGACCAGTCCGGCCTCAAAATCACAGAGATCAGCCTGCCTCTGCCTCCCCAGTCCTGGGACTAAGGGTGTGTGTCACAAGAAGTCTTCTTAACCACAGTCATCTATTTTTTTTTAAATTTGTTTGTTTGTTTGGAGACAGAGTCTCACTATGCAGTCTTGGCTGGTCTGGAACTCCCTATATAGATGAGGCTAGCCTCAAACTCACAGAGATCCTCCTGCCTCTGCCTGCATCTTCTGCCTCTGCCTGTGTCTTCTAAGTGCTCAGATCAAAGTCGTGTGCCACCAAGCCTAGCCTGGCAAGTTTTATTTTGAGATAACAGTCCATATTTCACCAAGTTGCCCTGGTCTCCCCTCAACTTGCAATCCTCTCATCTCCGACTCTCAAGTATTAGGATTACAGGCCTGAGCTACTATGCCTGGCATCTCACCAAGATTTAAAAGGCCTGTTCAAGGGTGAAGGAAGAGTACACACAATTCAAATCTACCCAGACACTCCAGGTGCCGCTCACCAGGAGGAAGGTGGCCCCTCCAGGCTCGTCCAGGGACTGAATGGCTGTTTCCACAAGTTTGGTGGACTTTTCCAGCTGCTCACGGTACTGGAGGATCAGGGCCTCGATGAAGCCCAGCTTCTCCTCCTGCTCCTGCGTGATCCTCTGCAGCAACTCGCTCTTCTTCTCGTCCAAGATGGCGTAGAGGGCGTCAAACTTCTGACTCAGCTCCTCCTTCACCTGGTGACTGTTCTCCTGAGGACAGAAACCTACAGTCTCGTCTCATGGGGTCCCGACCCACTTTCTGAGACAGAAGGGCCCAAGAACTAGCCACTTGCAGCAGAAGAGAGCCTGCCCAGTTCCCACCACACAGCAAACAAAGCTAATTGGAAGAACGGCCTGCACGGAAGGCTGACTTGGTACAACTCAGCGGGATTCTCTCTCAAAATAAAAGTGGTACCTTCCAGAGTGGGATGCCACACAGAGGAATAATAATGTTCCCATCCTGCTCCATTGTCCACTTGCAGTTAGGATACCCACTCCCCGCTGCCCAACTCCAACCCTTCCCCAAGAAGAGACCAGATTCTTTTTCTTTTTTTTTTCTTTTTGGAGACAGGCTCTCAATGTGTAGAGCTGGCTTGCCTGGAGTTTATGATGTAGATCAGGCTGGCCTCAAACTCACAGAGATCCACTTGCCTCTGCCTCCCGAGTGCTGGGATTAGAGGTATGGGCCACTGCGTCCAGCAAGAGCAGAATTTTGAATACTCTTCCTGTCTTGTCTTTTCTCTTTGCTTTCTCATCTTCTGTTTATTGACTTGTTTTTGAGGCTTGTTTTCTCACGTAGCTCAGGCTGGCCTCAAACGCACTATGTAGGAGATACATAATTTCTTCATCTCCCAAATGCTGATGTTACAGACATGGCATCACATCTGGCTGGGAAAACTACCTCTGCCTCTGCTGTCTGTGGAACCTGCAGTCTTCCAAAGCTCATTAGAAGTGCAGCCAGGTGCAAGCATGTGATCCCAGCACTTGGTAGGTAGAGGTAGGGGAAGCAGGAGTTCAAGTCACTCTAGACTACTTAGAAAATGCAAGGCCATCCTGTTTACACAAGACTTGTCTCAAAATATCAAATCAAAGATAGAAAATAGGAAAGACAGAAAGAGGCCTGGAGAGATGGCTCAGTGGTTAAGACCACTGACTGGCCAGGCAGTGGTGGCACACGCCTTTAATCCCAGCACTCGGGAGGCAGAGGCAGGTGGATTTCTGTGAGTTTGAGGCCAGCCTGGTCTACAGAACGATTTCCAGGACTGGCTCCATAGCTACTGAGAAACCCTGTCATGAAAAACAAAAAATGCTCTTCCAGAGGACCCTGATTCAATTCCCAACACCCACATGGTGGCTTACAACCATATATAACTCCAATTCCAAAAGATCCGACTCCCTCTTCTGCCCTCCTCGGGCACTGCACACGCATATGGTGCACAGACATACATGTTGGCAGAAGGCCCATATACATTAAAAATATATACTAAGTGAGGAAGTGCAGACTTCCGTTTTATTCCCGATCCGCTGAGTCAGATCCCGAGCTCCCATAGGCACCAGGGTCGAGTGTGAGCTTTTAAAGGTCCAGGAACCCTGCTTGGCAGCAGAGTGATTGATGCTAGAGACGCTCGTGGAGTTATTGGCAATTGCGTCTATCTTGACCTTGGGCAGAGTCGGGCACCGCTGCCATGTTCAGGAACTATCTGCTGAGTGAGGGCAGGGATGACTGTGCCCCTTTCCTGCCATCTCTGTTGGGCACCCAAGGCGCTGAAACCCCAAGCCGCACTCACAGCTCAGGCCCTCCCCGGATGCCAGCTGCACTGGAGGCGTCCACTGCGCCTCACCGCTGACAGGGCCGCTCAGCGCCCTCACCTTGGTCACTCGGCAGGAGTCCTCCAGCTGAGAAATGATAGTCTGCACTCGGTCGTTCCCTGCCACCAGCATGGAGATGCAGTTACTCAGTTCAGTCTGGAGGGGAGGGGGTGAGAGAGGAGAGACAGAAATAGACTCAGGGTTGGCTGTTTCTTAGTATCAACAGGATGATAGCCTGCTCCCCCTCTCGGAGAGAGTCACCAGGAGGATTGCTCTCCCTCCTGGGATGCAGTTCAGGCCTAAAGCCGAGACTTCCACAGATGCTATATCCTTTATGGATAGATGAGACCCAGAAAGAGAAACAAGCACCCCCAAACACACGGCAAGGTATTGAAAAGGGAACAAAGGAAAAACTAGCTTCTTTCTTTCTATATTTTTGAGACAGGGTCTTACTGTGCTGCCTTGGCTGGCCCAGAACTTACTTATGTAGACCAGGCTGGCCTCAAATTCACTGGGATCCGCCTGCCTCTGCCTCATGAGCGCTGGTTTTAAAAGCCTATGCTGCCATACCCGACTGCTAGTTCCTGACAGAAAGAATAGAACTGGAAAGTTCTAGAAGAGAAAAGTCCAAGAGCTGAGTGGAATGCGGAGAGCAGAGTTTAGAAAGGGCTGCTGCTAACTGCACAGACAGGACGCTGGGGTGGCCAGCAGCTCAGGGGAGAGCCTCGAATCTGCTTTGTGCTATATGAGAGGCTCAAACGGAGAGTATGCAGGAGGAGAAGCTATAGTCTGGAAGGGTCTGGTGGCCTGACCCTAGGGTCTGGCCTCGTCCCTGTGGCCACACCCAGGTGTTCTCAAGTGGTTCTAATTATAACCCATGAGCTCAGCCACCTCCCCCAGGGAGGCGGCGGCTGCTGTCCCTGTGGCCTGGGAAGTCCCTTCAGAGGGACTATTCCTGAAAGGCCGGCTCAGCACATCCACAGGGGTCAGATCCACCCCCAGAATCATCCAGGCACAGTGGCGGTTGTCAATACCTTCTGTCCCTGGAAGATGTTTTGCAGCGGGGCTACCTCACAGGCCTGGTGGGCCCCGAACACCTTGCACAAGGAGCATGTAGGCACCTCACACGTGAGGCAGTAGATGTTGATTTTCTCGTCTTCATGCTCCTTGCACATCGGATGGCTGCCTTTCTGCAGGGGCCGACTGAGGGGGAGAGGAATCACAAGTCAGGGATGTCCCCTCTCTTTGTCCCCAAGCACAGGAAGCCACCACCATCCACATGTCAGCTCCCAGTGGGTCAGGCTGCTCCAGATAGCCTCCGTTTTATCTTCTGGGAGCCCAAGAGCAAGGAAGCTAATGATATCAAAGCTGTTCCCAAACCCCCAAACTCAGGCTCTGGTGTTGGAACTGGCCTGAGTTGGTACAGGGGACCCCGGGGAGGACCCCAGAATTCCAGAGTCAGACCCGAAGATGCTGACCTAAGGGGAGAGGCAAGAATCCCAGAAACTGAATGGATTTGCCCAAGGTCGCCCAGCAGCACAGGCAGGGGAGGCTAGAACGCCTTTGCTCTAATTATAGCCCCATAACTCTTGGTTGCTGCGCCTGGGCAACTTATTCCAATGCAATCCTTATGTCTATATTTAATCTACCAGACCATAGCCTCCAACCAGGCCGGAAAGCCTGCTTGTTTTTCTTCCCAAAGTCTATAACATACAGTGCCTGGCATGAAGACCATGGAAATGAAACGCAAGTAGGAAGAATACACGAACAAACACATCCTGAAGGTGTCCGAGGGCTCAGAGAAGGGGACAGTACGTACACTCTAAGCCATGCAAACAACACGTGGTGGGGACAGGGCTGTCCAGAAGCAGATCACAAACCTTGGCCTCCGCTACTCTCGGGGCCCAGAAGCGCTTCTTTTTTAAATTTTAAAAACTGCCTTTATTTATTATGTGTGTATGTTGGGGGAGGGGGAATGTGTGTGCCACGGCACATGTATGGAGGCCGGAGGATAGCTCGAAGGATTTGGTTCTCTCCTTCTACCATGTGGGTCCTAGGGATAGAACTCAGGTCGTCGGGCTTGGCGGCAAGCCGGCCCAAGAGTCTCTTCTTTCTGTCCTAGGATGCCTTGTTCCCTTTATTGCTTTCTCCATGTAGGATGCCTGGCATGTTCCTCTGCAACATCAGCCGTTTCCCAGCCTAGACTGAGGTTTTAAAGTCAAGTCCTTACCTCCCAAGCTAGACAGAACTTACATCCATTTAGGATAGGCTACTTTGTCCACAAGACCTCTGATCCCCAGCCCCTAACACGTAACCACTTCATAAGTCTCAAATAGTGACAATCCCCATCAGTGCCAGGGTCTCACCTCCCAGCAGCCCTGCATGGCTGTCACATGACCATGACCTCACTGCCCCCTCCAGGAGCTCCTTTCCAGGCTTTTTTGTTTTGTTTTCATCTGTGAGCCCAGGGACTCCCCACTGCGGCTGTGGTGATGGGTGTTTCCTCCACTTCTGTCCCCTAGGGTGGCAGTAGCAAGACAGGGTATGAAGCAGGATGAAGAAGGTCTGCTGCCTGAGAACACCTCCCTCCCTGGTGGCCAGGTGTCAGGACAGGTCTTGCGTGATCTTAGTCTTCAAACCTCGGCGTCTCTCAGAACTGTGCCAACCATGTCAGAATGTGACCTGCAGAGCTCTGAGCAGACCCTGGTTAAAGGCAGCTGTCATTGTCATTTACCTGTTAGGGGAAAAACCCCAAAGAGTCCAGACACAGCCTACCCTTAAGGACTCTTTAGGAGGCTGGCACTGTAGACTATAAACTGTGTTATTGGGGCTGGAGAGATGGCTCAGCAGTTAAGAGCATTGCCTGCTCTTCCAAAGGTCCTGAGTTCAATTCCCAGCAACCACATGGTGGCTCACAGCCATCTGTAATGAGGTCTGGTGCCCTCTTCTGGCCTTCAGGCATACACACAGACAGATTATTGTATACATCATAAATAAATAAATATTTAAAAACTGTATTATTATTATTATTACTGCCATCATTATCATCGTCATCATCATCAGAAATAGGCATTTGTGGGCTGACAAGTTGGCTCAGCAGATAAGGGTGCTTGCATTGCAGCAGGAGGCTAGTGACCTGAGTTTGATCCTTGGAACTCGTGTAAAGGCAGAAGGAGAGAACGGATTACACAAAGTTGTCCTCTAACCTCCACACATGGGCCATGGCATGTGCACACTCACCCCCACACCGCACACTAACAACAATAAATAATACAAGTAATTTAAAATAATATATGCATGTCTTATCTGGGAAAGGGACTGGACAAAGCCTTGGGTTAGAGTTAGAAAGGGTTCTACCACGGAGCTGTATTTCCAGTCCCTGATTTTTATTATCTTTGAAGCAGGATCTTGCTGAATGGGCCAGGCAGGCACTGCGTTTGCAAGGTGAACCTTAAAACGGAGAGCCTCCTGCTTCAGGCTTCCAAGTCTAAGGATCGCAGATGACTGGGATTGTGGGCATGGGCCACCGTGACCGGTGCTCAACAATGTTCATTTGTAGTGTTGTGTTCTACCCACATGAGATGCAATATGACAAAGTTTAGAATACTCCCTGCTGAGACTGGAGAGATAGGTGGGCAGTGAAGAGAGCTTACTGCTCTTGCAGAGGACCTGGGTTTGATTCCCAGCACCCATAAGACAGCTCATAACCATCTGTAACGGCAGTATAATGCCGGTTCTAGTTCTGGGGGGGGGGATCATGATAGCAACATCTTGTCAACTTGACTACATCTGGAATTAATTAAAACCCAAGTAGCTGGGTATACCATAAGGGGTTTCTTTCTTTTTTTTTCTTAATTAAATCATTTTTATGTGAAGACCCACTTCTAATCTAAATTTTTTTTCGAAGTGGGAAGACCCTCCCCTAATCTGGGACACACTTTCTGCTGGTGCCCAATAAAGGACACGGAAGAAGGAAGCTTGTTCTCTCTTTGCCTTTGTGCTCCCGCGCTCACAAGCACGTCTATTCCCTCACTGGCATTCCAACATAGACTGAAGATCAAATGAGACATCCAGCCTTGTATGACTGTATCCGGTATGACTGCTGTAGGGCTGTATCCGGTATGACTGCTGTATGGCTGTATCCGGTATGACTGCTGTATGGCTGTATCCGGTATGACTGCTGTATGGCTGTATCCGGTATGACTGCTGTAGGGCTGTATGACTACTGGATCCCTGGACCTTCTGCTGGCAGACAGCCATTGCTGGGCCCGCTGGACTGCAGCCTTTAAGCCATTCTAATAAATCCTGTGTATGTATTTATTCTGTCAGTTCTGTCCTCTAGAGAACTCTGACTAATACAGGGATCCAGTACCCTCTTCTGGCCTCCACAGACACCAGATGCTCATCTTTACCACCTGCTGGCCTAACCTGCGTCTTCATCTTCTCACGAGAAAACGGGCACGAGACACCCTTGCAATGTCGCGGTGACACCAGGCAGGAAATGCACGGAGGAGCCCAGGGTGGCAACCACATGCAGTCAGTGCTCCACGAATGTTTAATATTTCAGATCTTAGCGTCTGTCCCCTTGACTGAGTCTGGCTATGTAGGCCGGGCTTGATGGCTCTGTTCTGCCTCAGCCCTCCTAGAGCTGGGATTGCAGCTACGCCCCTGTCTTCCCTGGTCTGGGGAAGGTTTTAGGCTTTGAGGTCAGCAGTCCGGGAGTTTTGCTGAGGTGTTTTCATTTACTTCATTGATGGGTAGGTGAATTGACTGGCCTTGGCGCTGGGGATCCCAGCACTCTGGGCTAGGGTTTCGTGTCTTCTCAGCAGGTTCTACCATTAAGACCCAGTCAGTACGCCCTCCTTTACAAAGATCACCCAGTAGCTGTGTCTCTTCCCAGTTGGTGCCCAACCCTGCACACCCCCTGCCACCCACAAATCCTGTCCAGATCGCCCCCTTCCCAAGCAGTAAACATTGGGTAACTGCCCAAAACTATTATTACTGTTGTTATTACTATTACTGTTGAGGAGGGGTGAGACAGGGTCTCATTCTGTAAGCTGCATTGGCCTGGAACTCATGGCAACCCTCCTGTCCCTGCCTCTCAAGAGGTGGGATCATGTGAGTCACCACACTTAGGTGACTTCCCTTCCTTGAGACTCCATTTCCTGCTCTACATAGGGATAATCCTGAGGGATGAAGCCTTCTGGGTGCCTGACCCCTGTTGCCCTAGAACCACTTGGCCGCACTGGCCCCAGCTATTTTCTCCGCCATAGACTTCTTTCTCTCTTAACCACACACTCATAACCCTGCTCTGGTCCCGGGCACTCTTTCATGCCCATAATATACCCAGCGAACTCAAGAGCTGAGGTTCTGTCTGAGGTAGAGAGTGATGGTCTCCTGGGGGAGGGGCTACAGTCTTCTGGGGGAGGGGCTACAGTCACCTGGGGGAGGGGCTACAGCCTCCTTGGGGAGCGGCTGGGCAGGGGGCTGGGCTGCCGAGCTGCTCACTAACCTGGAGCACTCCTGCTTGTAGATGTCAATGATGTTCTCCACCAGCAGATTCCTCTGTAGGCCGTACACCCCATGCCGGTCCATGATCACCTCATGGCGGCACGAGGGGCAGCGGAAACGACCTCCCGACATGGACACCGAGCCACCGCGGTTGGTCCAGTAGGGATTCGCAGCCTGAAGAGAGCCAAGGCAAAGATGAGGCTGGAGTTTCTTCCTTCTCTAGTCTCTAGCTCTTTCCCCAAATGACCCCAAACACACTGGCCGGACCAAAGGACATAGGCTCCTGGTCTCTACCTAGAACCAGCCCACCCACGCTGCGGATTGTTTTGGTTGAAGCATTCAAACAGTTAAGAGGTTCAGTATTAGCCAACATGAGTTCAGGTCATGTTGAAAACATGTTCAACTCTTTTTGAACGAAAGTTCAACTCTTTTTCTCTGTGCCTCAGTTTACCACTGGTATCGCAGGCCTTAGAATTAGTGCCAGCTCTTAGGACTGTTAAACTGTGAAAAATCATTTTTGGTTTCTTTGGTTTTGTTTCTGAGATAGGGTCTTGCTATCTGAAATTCATTAGGTAGCACAGACTGGCTTCAGACTCCTGCCTCAGTAACGACGTCTGACTGCGGAAGGTCATTTTCTGAAGCGACTCAAGACTTGAATCCCTCATCCAATGCAGTCACCACAGTCCAGGAAGACGGCGTCCCTTCTGCCCCCATAAGGATGCTGCCGTGGCTACGTGCCTCTTGCCACCTCCTTCCAAAGCTCTAGGCCCCCTGCCATGGTGGAGTTGGCTCCTGCCCCAGGGTCTGGGTTCTCTCTCCTCTCTGCCCGCCTCCCCTTCCCTCTTATCACTTAGGCATTTGACTCCTGAGTGGAGAATCAACAGTGAGCCATCCAGGCAAGAGCAGGGGGCTGTAGGCAGGTTGGAGACCAGACAGTATATCATGGAGAAGGACTGGGGCATCTCCTCATTTCCCCTTAGCTCCCCTCCATCCCTCCCCCTGCCCAGAGGTCTCTGCATGGCTCCACGTGGGAATGAGTCAGAAGCCTCCCACACTGAGAAGGAGGGGAAATCTGAGAAGCCGTCCTGGGGGAGGAGGGGGTTCCAGACCCGGGCCCTACTTGGTGCTGACCTGGAAGATGTCGTTGGCACACTTCCGGCAGAGGTTGTGCTGGCAGGGTAGGATGACCACAGGCTTGGTAAACATCTCCAGGCAGATAGGGCAGATCAGCTGCTTCTCCAGGTTCTCCATGGCGTTTCCATCCGGAATCAGGCTAGATTTATAATCCATATTGCTTTGAGATGTGGCCGCCTCTTCCACCCGTGTCACCAAAGCGGAACTGGAGGGCTTGCCTTCGTCCCCACACACACTCGATCCTCTTTGTCTTCTCCTGGCGTCCGACTTCGGTCTTGGTCTGAGGTCCTTCTGATATTTATAGCCGTACCTCAGTCACATGAGCCCCAGAAGGGGACCAGCTGAGCATTCCGAAGCCAAGCTGCTGGCGGGGCTTGAGTTTCCTCCAGGACCCAAAGATTTGTCTCTCTCAGATCACACGTGGGGATGAGCAATCGCGTTCCCCTGGGACGGGGGTCGTAAACAAGTACAGACTGTTCAGAGCCAGGCGCAGGACAGGGGCCAGGTACCCGAGTTTCCGGCAGATGTTGGCCTCCGCCCCCCACCCCATCACCGGCCCCGGCTCCACACCCCTCGTTCCCCCCTCCCCCGCCGTCAGCCAAGTGGGAGTGAGAAAAGGGACCTGGAGAGAGGGCCCCTGGAGTCAAGGGATCGGCAGCCAGCACTCTGGTACCAACCTAAGTCAGTTCCCCTTCTGGATCATTGAGCAGCTACAAGATAAGGGCTGGAGATAACCCCTCTGTGAGCCCTTCTTGCCTCAGCCTCTGGGCAAGCATCTTAACTGGGTCTTCAGAGACTCCCACGCTGGCAGCCCACCCTGACACCCCCGAGTAACTTACTGCACTTCATGCTAAAAGGGTTTTCTTGAGATCCAGTGGGGTGCCTCAGTGGGAAAGGGGCTTGCTGACACCCTGCCTTCACATGTCCAATTGTTTGCCCTGCACGGAGATACTCACAGCCCAGAAAGGAGACGAACATGAGATCCCTCCCTGTGCCTCAGAATCCTGGGCCCTGACACGTGGAAGTCTGCCAGAGGCACCCCTGGGCTTTGCATACATGTTCATTCTTGGACCCCAGGAAGAACCAGAGGCTATAGAAGATGTGGATCTCTTGAGACAAGAGTTGATCAAGATCTACAGATCTGCAGGCCTATATTCTCAGCTACTCAGGAGGCTGAGGCAGGAGGATCAAATTCAAGACTATCCTAGGCTATATAGTGATGTCATGTCTCAAAGTAAAACGTAAAACAGAGTACATGTCTGTAAGTCCAATACTTAGGAGGCAGAGGCAGGAGGATTAGGAGTTCAAAGCCAGCCTGAGCTACACAAAACCCTATCTCAAAATCAAATACTATCACTACACACCCCAAGTCACCACCATGACCCCTTACCACAAATCATACCACCCCAAAAGAAAAAGTGTAAAAGTGTATTTTTAAAAGTTAAAAGATGGTGCAGAAGACCAGGATTCCATTCCCAGCATCCACACAGTGACATGTAACAGTTATTCGGGCGCTAAGGGGTCTGGCGCCATCTTCTGGCCCGCACGGGTACTGTATGCATATAATGCACATACATGCTGGCAAAACACCTATACACAGAATAAAAATAAGTATTTTTAAAGGTAAAAAGAGAAAGGGGTAGGACTTAATGATAGAGCATTTACCTACCATGTGGGATGAGGAATTATGTTCCATTCTCCATAAAGCACACCCCCCCCAAATAAAATCTTTGGGGAGTCCCATGAGCAGAGGGGCCAGTCTCAGGAAAGGGCAGATGAGGAGGTGGGACCAGTCCCAATGGGATCACAAAGAACAGAAAGCCAGGCCTGGTGATTCAGGCAGGAGGACTACTGTGAGTTCAGGTCAGCCTGGGCCGCAGTGTGAAGACATGTCAGTTTTTCGGATCGCCCCAAATCTTGGTGGCTGGTGTTTGCTGAGCACTTGCTACATGGCAGGCACCGTGCCAAGGACTCGCTTGCCTTCTGGCAATTTCATCACCTGAACCATCGACAGCGCAAGAACCGTTACATCCCCATCAAACGGGACAGGCAAGTCAGGTGCAGAGAGGCAAAGTAACCCGTGTGAAGTCACACAGCCAGCAGTGGGTGGTTCTGAGACACAGCCCAGCGTGAGCTTCTGGTTTCTCTGCGGGGGTGTTGATACTCTCAGGCCACCTGAGGAGGAGAAGGAGATGAGATCTGAGAAGAGGTGGTCTTCCCGGTTCACAGGACCTTGGGTTCATTCTGGCATGTGCAGCCTGGTACCCCAGGAAAGTGATTCTCTCGCCTGTCATGGGGGATAAACCACAAGAGGTTTAAGCCTATGCTGGTAATCTTATTCTTTTTTGTTTAATGGTGAAGCTATTGCCAAAGTAAATATTAATAGTAACAACATTCGCTAACTCTCAGGACTTTGTCCATGCCAAAAACATGAGTGCAAGAAGAAAGCTTCAGTTGGGCATTAGTGGCGCATGCCTTTAATCCCAGCACTTGGGAGACAGAGGCAAGCGCATCTCTGTGAGTTCGAGACCAGCCTGGTCTACAAGAGCTAGTTTCAGGACAGGCTCCAAAGCTACAGAGAAACCCTGTCTCGAAAAGTCAAAATAAAAATAAAATAAAATAAAAAAAGGTTTCTTTTTTGTTTGGAATGGTGCATGAGAGCGGGTGACTGTTTCTCAGCTATGAGGAGACAGTGTGTGACAAAGAAGCCAACACTGAGAAATGCTGAGGGACTGTAAAGTCCCTGGTGCCAGCTGGGACTTCCTGACTCTTCCCTACTTAAGACAGGGAAAAATGTAGAGCTCAATAAATATCAATAAAATAAAATAAAATTAAATTAAATTTAAAAAGAGGTAAGACAGAGCTGATGGCTCAGTGGTTAAGAGCACTGGCTGCTATTTCAGAGGACCTGGGTTCGGTTCCCAGCATGCACACAGTGACTCACAACCATCTGTAAGACCAGTCCCAAGGGAACTTATGTCCTCTTTTGGTTCTGTGGGCACACGTGTGGTACCCAGACATCCATACAGGCAAAACACCCACATACACAAAAACTTAAATTTTAGAAATAAATAATTTTTAAAAAAGAAGTTCAAGATCATTCTCATCTACATGGTAAATCCAAGGTTATATTAGATCCTACCTCAAAAGCAAAAAGCAAAAAGGAGCCGGGCGGTGGTGGCACACGCCTTTAATCACAGCACTGGAGAGGCAGAGGCAGGCAGACCTCTGTGAGTTCGAGACCAGCCTGGTCTACAGAGCGAATCCCAGGCTTTCAAGAGCACAGAATGAGTTCCTATTTCAAAGCAAACAAATGAAGATACTTAAGAGCCAACAAGAGGGCTCAAGGAATACACTTGAAAGACTTTGGGGCACCTTAGCACTACTGCACCCCCCCTTCCTGGGAACCGGGTGCCTTAGCACTACTGCACCCCGCTCCCTGGGAACCAGGACCCAGGTAGCCAACCACATGTGCACTGGAGCTGTGAGTACTTTCCATCCCCATTGTAGTCTTTCTTCTACAGACCCAGACCCCGGAACTGGGGTGAGACGACCTGCAGGTGTTCCAGCTTGTAATCGCCATAGCATTGATCAGTTAGAGTTAGCTGACCGTTGAATGAACTAGTCAAAATGGTTGACAAATGATTTCTGGACTTTCCCTTTGATTCTGTACTACCTCTTCCCTGATTCTGTGATTTTTTTCCTTTAAAAGATCCTGTAATAGACAAAGCCGGGGTCCTTCTCCTCTCGAGGCTGAGGGACCTCTGCCGTGGCAGAATAAAAATTCCTCTTGCTATTGCATCAACCGTGCTGAGAGTGTCTCTTGGGGCGACTTCCTCCTTGGTGGGGCTTTAGGGCCCAACACACTGTACTTGGGGACAAAAACCTGAGTTTGCTCCCAGGACCTACACTGTGGAAGGAGGGCTGATTTCCAAAGATTCTGACTTCCAAATGTAACAAAACTTTATATATAAAAAGATACTTAAAGCTAAGGTAGTTCAGGCAATGATGAGAGAAGGTCGAGTTAGGCCTGCGTCTGAGGAAATTTGGGTTTTGAGATGCGGGCTGGGAGAGGAAAAAGACCGAGGGAACATTCTAGGTATTGGGAGCAGGAGAGAAAAAGAGTTGACTAACTTCTGGGGCTGAGGGGGCAGGGAGCAAGAGCAGCATGGACAGGAGCAGAGAGGGTTTGGATCAGCCTGTGTAGTGAACACGGAAGGGCCTTGCTGCTGTCTGCGTCCTGGACACACTTGTCACCTGGGAGGAGCCCTGTTGACTTTCCCCAGCCAGCCTGGGCAGACCAGGTGCAGAGGCCCAGCAGATGGACAGAGGGATGGCCTCCAGCCAGCATGGACACCGGTAAGGCCAGCACTGTCGAAAGTCAAGGGAGGAGATGGGGCAGCTCCCACGTGGTCTGCACTGGGCAGCAAAACATGTCTGGTCATTCGATCCCCACATCTGTCCTTCAGAAGATCTGTGTTTTTCCTCTCCCCGCGGGAAATGAGGTTCAGAGAGTTAGTGGACTTCACCGAAGTCACACAGCCACAAATGGCAGAGCCAAACCCTGGTTCAGGTCCAAGGTAGCCTGATTCTCAAATCTGGGCTCCTCTGGTAGAGCAGGTATTGAGTGCTTATTATGGGATGGCCATTGAGCTGAGACTCTTCCAGACTTCTTGTCGTTCAGTATGCCGAGGGACTCAGTGGGGCAGGGCACCTTCTCCACCTCCTGCTGCTCTGCCAAGGCTCAGAGACGCACAGTCACTTGGCCAAGCTATACCAGGAGCAAGTGACAGAGCCGGTGGCATCACCAGGAAGTTATAAGCCAACACTACTACCAGCCATTAGAACAAACTAGAGTCATGGGACTGGCAGGTGAAGAGATCAGTATGGATCATCAGTGGTGAGCTGGGGCCAGCTGTTGTGGAGGGGACACAGAGTCTCACAATGTAGCCTGTGCTGGCCTACAACTCCTCTGTAGACCAGGCTGGCCTCGAACTCACAGAGATCTGCCTGCCTCTGCCTCCCGAGTGCTGGAATTAAAGGTGTGTACCACCATGTCTGATGCAAACTTTTTTTTTTTTAAATGCTGGCTCTCATGTAGAACTGGGAATTTGTCAAAGACTGGTTGTGAAGGCCTGATCCTTCTGCCTCTACCTCCCAAGTCCTGAGACTACAGGCACAGGATTCAATGCCTGGTTTCTTCTTCCTTTAATGAAGATTTCAAACGTGTGTGTATGTGTCTTACTGGAGAATGAACCTAAGACCCTGTGCGTGCTAAGCAAGCACCCTACCACCGAGCTAT